AGCAAAGAGTCATTGCAATTTCATCTCAACAAGCAAGCCAGGCATGGTGGCTCACTCCTGTTTCCCTGGCTACACTGGAGGCTGTTAGTCTGAGACTGGCTACAGGCAAAAGTTAAGAGAGCCGTCTTTGAAAAAAACAAGTTACAGCAAAAATGGCTAAGGGCCTGGCTCAAGTGGCAGAGGAACTGCCTAGCTAGCATGAGACCCTTGAGTTCAGACCCCAGTCCCACTCAAAGGGGTAAAGGAAGTAGTAGAGAGGATTTTCGCTGTTCCTTGTGGATGAGCCAATCACACTGATCGGATCAGTACAGGTTGCACCTGGGTGCTGAGATGTCACAAGCACCCCTTAAGTAGGTGCAAGTATAATGCACAGCCCCTCCGTCCTCACCCCTGCACTGTGGGGGGGGGGGTGGACAGAGCTTCTGTGCTCTGTCCCTTCGCTGCGTCTGCCTCTCTTCTGCTGTGACATTCTCGCATGCAAGAACATGTGTCCCCCGAAGACAAAAGCACGCTGGCTCCCAGCCTCGCCTCAGGAGAAGCTGCACTGAGCAAGGCAACTTTTCCATTTTATCATCTGCCTCCTCCTCCGCTCGCCCGGAGCACTTCATTATCTGCTCCTCGTCCATCACCTCTCGATGTCTGCCAGGGGAGTTCTTCATCCTGCCCCGAGCGCGCAGCGCGCCACGTGCGAACGGGAGGCCTCTGGTGAACAGATCGGAAGGCGAAAACTGCGCTTCCCTGGAAACAGCCCCCCTCCCCCAGGCACATGGCCCGTGATCGGCAATCCTGATGAAGAGAATGCAGGCAAAATGCGGGGAATTACGTGGGGGTTTGCCAATAGATGAAGCGTCTTTAAATGGACCTCCATGATCCTGGGGGAGCCCTCAGGAGGGAGCTGAAGGAGTACCCCACAGTCTGAAGGACCAGAACAGACAGGTGCGCCCGGCATGGGAGTCTCAGGCCTGCCCCACGCCCCCTCCAGGCCTGTCCTTCTGCCACGGAGGCCCGTCCGGGACAGGAAGCGGCTGGGAGGCTGGCTGCCTTGGCTGAAGAGGGATAGAAAAACCTGGCCCCTAGTGTCCACAAAGGGTCCCAGCCCTCCTCCCTGCCCCCGTGTGCGCAGTTGGCCACAGAGCTCAGGGCGCCTGGGCGCTCTTTGTATCTACAGCTAGGAGAACGATGGCTTTCAGCACTAGTCCCCTGAGCAGATTGTGGACAGGGGAATCCTCTGGTTACAGCACCAAGAACGACTTGCCATTGCCCAAAGAGCTTTCGTGTGTTCTGTTTTGTAATGCTGGGGATCTAATGATGATGATGATGATGATGATGATGATGATGATGATGATGATGATGATGATGATGATGATGATGATGATGGTGATGATGGTGATGATGATGATAAAACCCCAACAAAAGTTACTTGGTACCTTGCATGTGATAACTGAAACACCTACGGACAGACTCACAAATATGAGAGCATTTAGGCGAATCAAAGAGAGGGACCAGGCGTCCTGGCTGTCTGCTAGCTTCTCTGCCATTGGTGGTCCTCAGGTCCAGGAACCTGCTGGCCATTCCCATGCATGAGTGTCTCCAGTCCTGAGAGCCCAGAGGCAGCCGTTATGCTAACTCAACAGGATGATGAAGGAAACAAATGACTCTACCACAGTCTCCCCTAGCCGGTGATTCTGAGCACAAGCCCAGAGTCTGACTGACTCTGGCATCTGAGCCGTGGGAAGGTCTCCTGTGCTGTGGGCATGAGGGTGGCCCTGGGGAATGGCTGGTCCCCCGGAAATCAGGATCTTGTCTTAAGTAACGTATGATACGACGTCAGCCAGTTCATCTTTGCTTCTCTGTCCCCACCCCCTCGTCTCCCCCACTTCTTCCCAGCATATTGGTCCAGTCTGTGAAGATAGGCCGTGGGTACTTTAGCATACTGAAAGAGGAAACGGCCATGAAGAAAAGACTGCAGCTGCTTCAGAAGCTGGAGGAGGAAGAAAGGAATAAATTCCAACCAGCCAGAAAGTTCTCAGAAATACAATACGGCGAAAACTTGCTGGGGTGAGTGGATGAAGCGGCCAGAGCGGCTGGTGACCGCTGGCCGGCCGGCAAGGGCCCACGAGGGAATGGACTCAGGGCTGTTGAATGCAGGAGCTGTGGTCAGATGAACAGACTGCCCCCACCCCACCCACACTGGGGGACGGGGTGTCTGTCCAAGAGGCTCCTGTGCCCCTCCATTTAAACAATGGTCCCCATGGAACCTTCTACTCATTTGGAAGGGACTTCTATTTTATTTTATTTTTGGTCAGTTGTGGGGCTTGGACTCAGGGCCTAGGTGCTGTCTTTGAGCTTTCCTGCTCAAAACTAGCACTCTACCACAATGCTACTTCCGGTTTTCTGGTGGTTCATTGGAGATGAGAATCTCATGGACTTTCCTGCCCAGGCTGGCCTTGGAGCGTGATTCTCAGATCTCAGCCTCCTGGGTTGCTGGGACTTCTAATCCAGGGTCACAGAGCACAATTTTCTCATCTCTGAGGTTTTAGTGCGGGAGACGTGGTTTCTTTAGCTGAATAAGTTTAAAGATGCCCAGGATCACCCATTGGTTCGGTGATGTTTTATCTAGTAAGTAGATTCTATGAGCTATACAGGGTTGGTTATTCAAACAAAACTGCTTGCCATTACAGCACCGTAACCATGAAATGAGAGAGTGACGTGTTCTAATGCAGCCGTGAGAGCTTGTCCATACAAAGGCCCGTCACAGGGAAAACACAAGCCTGGGACCCAGCTGAGATCTGAATTCGAGTCCTGGCTTTCCCTGTGCGGCTGGCGGCCTTTGGACTAATTCCCTGAAGCTTTCCCAGCCTTCCTTCCCCAGCCTCCCATAGGAATGAGTGCTTCCAAGCATTGAGGATTAAATGAAATGATACTTAGCACAGAGCTCAGCATAAAAGGCACTCTCGATAATTATTTGCTATTATTATACAGTAAAGTGAATTTAATCTCTCTGGGCCTCAATTATCTGAAATCGTTAACTATGGGCCTACAGCAGCCCCTGTCTAAGAGCTGCACTGCTATAAATATGACTCCAATCACAAAGGTATTAAAACTACAAGTGCTCATTTATAAGTACTTTTTAAACCAAGTGTTTGATCGTGAGCTTTATAAAAGCAAAACAAGATTCTTTTCATGTGCCTGGTACCATCACCACCAGGATCTAACAGCAGAGAATAAGTTCTTTCAGACAAAAATGTTCGATCTGACAAACTATGCAGGGGGGAGAAGAGAAATCAAGCAAGTCCCTGAAGACGCCAGCCTGCGGGCTGCGAGTTTTCCCCCACTGTGCTCGGCAACCTCCTTTCTCAGCTGCAGATTCAGCTGAAAAGGTGAAAGAGGCAATGGGGAGAATCTATTTTATTATTGTGGCTGAGCTAAGGTGTAAAACCAGAGAGTGAGGAGTGTAAACACTAGGTTAATTTCTCCATATTGTATTCTAGCTCACTGGGAGGTAGGGCTGAGCAGTAAGATAGGGCACAGAAATGTATTTGCTAGTGGGTTTTGTTTGTTTGTCTCCTTTTCAGCTCTGAAGCTGAGTAAGGAGTGGGTAAAAGCGGGAATCAGACCAGTCAGATTCTCATCCTGCCTGGTGCCATCTTTCAATCAACTCTATGACCCCCGGATTCCCTCCCATCCCTCACTCCCAGGCCAGCCTTGTTTCCTCAGGACCCCTCTATCCCGTTCCCCTCACTGAGGTGGTACTGGGGTCTGAGCATAGGCCTTTGTGCTTGCTTGTGGCTGGTGCTCTACAACTTGAGCCACACCTCCAGTCCAGTTTTTTGCTGGTCATTTTGGAGATGGACTCTGACGAATTTCGCTGCCTGGGTTGGCTTCGAACATCAAATCCCTCAGATCTACACACACTTATCCACAGATAGGGAGGCAGCACAGTTAGGAAGCGAGGGAGGGAGTTGGAAAGCAAGGGGCTGGGGCCTAGGCACACGCCTCCCTGGAAGCAGGCAGGGCTCCTCAGTGGGCACGCAGGCCCAGATTCCTCAGAACTCTCCAGATCTGACCAGCCAATGCGCTTTTCATTTTTATGTAAAATCTCCCACCTTGGAGACAGTTGATTCAATTACACATGCATGCATTCAGACACACAATAGGCTGATTAAACACGTCCGCAGATTGAATTCTGTCATAAGTAAAAAAAAAAAAAATCCATCCTATGATGCAACATAGCAAAGAGAGAGAAAAGAAAGAAAAGCCTATTTTCTGGAACTGAGATGACTTCCTCCATGATGGCGGGGTGGGGGTGGGGAAATCACCGAAATATGCTATTACATCGCTCTTACGGTATTAAATTGCCCTTCCTAGAAATGCAGTTGAGAACTGTGGTGGTTCATCTTGATTGCCGGCTGATTGGAGTGAGACGGGCCTGGGCAGTTAGTAAAGCGCAGCCCTGGCGTGTGCTGTGAGTCTGTGAGGACATTTCCAGGGAGAAGGAACTAAGGGGAGATTGTTCCTAAACGGGGCCGTGCTGTGGAGGCTGGGAGCCCTGGCGGAATAAAAGAGGGAAAGGCCAGGCACACAGCTCACATGGCTCAGGGACTCCTGCCTCGATCCCAGCTACTCAAGAGGCTTACAGGCGGAGGATCGCAGCTGGAGTCCCATCCAGGCAAAAAGTGAGCAAGACCCCATCTCAACCAATAAGCTGAATACTGATGTCGGGCATCTGTAATCCCAGTTAGTGAGAGACAAAGATCAGAGGACAAATATCCAGTTCAGCCTAGTAAAAAACAGAGACCCTGTCTGGAAAAAAAAAAAGTACAACAGAAAGGGCTATGGACATAGCTCAAGTGGTAGAGTAGCTACCTAGCTCAGACAAGAGAGGACACCTACCCCGGCCCTCTGCGATTAAAAAAGAGAAACAAGGACAAGAGGGGAAAATGTATGAGCAGTATCCCCCCCCCTTCCTCCCTCCTTACACCCCCCTCCCTTCTTAGGACCACCATAAAATAAACTGCTCTTCTTCCATGCCCAATGCCATGGTAGACTGAAACTATGAACTGAAAATAAATCTCTCTTCCCTAAAGTTTTGGGAGTTTTGGGGGGGTTGTTTTTTTTGGCTCAGGCTTTTTATCATCGCATCGACACTGTCTTGTACAATTCTTTAAGAAAACACTAGTGTCTCACCACTCAGTCCTGTCTGCTCAAGGACAAAACTAAAAGGAAAGGTGATGGTTCGTGGCCAGCTCAGGCTAAACGTTAACAGCACCCTCTCTCAGCTAATAACCCAAGGATGGCAGTATGTGCGGGTCATCCCAGCTACGTACAAGAGGATGAAGGTCTAGAGTGTGGTCCAGCCCAGCCCAGGCCCCCTCCAAAAAAAAGCCTATCTGAAAATATATTAAAGCGAAATCACCTCAGGGAGGGATGGTGGCTGCTGTATAGTGGGTTGTTGTTACCCGCATCCAGGGTCTGCACAACGGGAGATCAGGGCAGAAGAAAAAGGAAAGGGGGCACCAGGGGTTCTAACGCTCACCGGCTTCTGAACCCCCAGCTCCTGATAGCAAGCTTATTTGTCTAGTCCAGTACAGGGGAGGGGACTACAGGCAGGTGCAGGGATCTTGTGATTACAACCATTAGCCTGAGGTATAGTTTTCCACCAAGTGACACTTGATTCTCTTATCTTTAGGGCGCAGAGGAGAGCGGTAAACACTTAACCATCACACAGACATTCATCTTATCTCCAAGGCCTTAAGCTTTCCGTGTCCAAAAAGCTCTAACTTAAACACACGTAGGGTAGTAACGCACACATTTGTCTTGCCTTGTCTGTCTGACCTTTCCAGGGTCCGGTTCTCAGCCCTGCGAGTCCTGCCCAGGCCGCCTTCCAACCCCTTAACCTGTTCCTGGTCTTGCAGCTTGGGCCCCAGGGCTCCCCACGGTGGACGACCTTGTATTAGCGGCCGAATGAACTCTAGCAAGAGAGGAGGGCATTTGCAGTGTCCCCTCGGGCTTCATGCTGTGCCCTGTGTGCTTTTCCAGCAGTGCCTCAGATGTGGAGAAGTACAAGAAGCTGGCGGCCAGCGGGATGCTGCGCCCGTTCACCCCCATCCACAGCTGCATCATCTCCCCCCTGATGTCGGAGTCCCACGTGTAAGCACCCCCCCCCCCCCCCGCATCATCCGCCTGGCTCCGTTCTAACCTGGAGCCAACATGAAACCCACTCAACAAGTTGCTGGGACCGTTCCTCGCCAGCCCGAAGGACTCTAGAGCCAGGAAGGCTGCTCAGCGCGGCATAATTAAAAACAATAATAATAATAAGAGAAAGCAGCTGGCAGAATGGGGCACTCCTATAATCCTAGCCACTTAGGAGCCGGAAACTGGGACGATCGTAGTTCCAGGCCAGCCCAGGACGAACTAATAATAATAACAATAACAATAACGATATGCAGGACTTTGTTCCTGCTTCTAGGTCCACAGCTTAGCTGGGTGTCTCTGGTCTAGGTCAGCTCAGTGGAGGTTAGGAAAGCTGTGTCTCTCGACATGCAGTAGGCGAGTGCAGATTTGTTCTCACAGTGTTTGGGGAGGATCCGGAGAACAGGGGTCTCGGCACACCAGGTCTCCTGAGGCACGGGGCTGCAAGGATGCAGGGCCCAAGTTTTGCTGCAAGAATGTCAGCCATCCGGCCCCAGGCTCAGGCAGTGAGGGAGAGACTAAGCATGGCCCAATACAAGGCATCCTAAGCAGAGAGGGATGGAGAGGCAGGAGCCTCCGAAAAGGCCTGGGCCAGGCCCTGCTGACGAACTCTCCGATTCTCAGTCATCCTGTCAGCTAGTATAGATGGAAGCCAGGTCAGCCTCTCCAGTCCCCATGTGATTGATTCCACATAGACCAGTCATTCTGAAATGACTGCGCAGGGATCAATTCAGTCATGTCAGGGGACACGCAACCTATAGCCTGAAAACTGGCAGGGGTGGGATCCGGGGGTGAAACGCAGCCTCCTGTTCAGTCTCTAAGAGGACGAGGCTTTCCCCTCACAGCATTTCCTGACAGAGCAGCTCAGGTCTGGACTGGCCCTTGGCCACTGGCAGGAGATGCTGGGACTGGCTTGGGACGCGTTGTCTGACTCCCTGAGCCCAACGCTGCTCTCTACGCCCACTGCGCCTGGCTGGTAGGCAGAGGGGATGGGCCGCCCGGGCGCGCGGGCTGTGGGGTGAAGGGGGCTCGTCCAAAGTTCTGAGTCCAGGGACTGCAAGGGTGGGCAAACCCTTCTTGTTTTAATCTGATAACATCCTAGACACGACACACTTTTGATCCGGCGCCTAAGCCCCATGGAAAAGCTCCTGTTTCCATCAAGGATGTTTCCGGGGACATTTTTGGTTTTGTTTTCTGTTTCCTATTTGTTTCATGGAAGATAAAACAGATACTCATGGGGTCGGATGGCAAGGTCTGGATAGATGGGATGGGACGCTTCCCTGATGAAAAGGTACAGCTCTACTCCATCCCAAGAGACAACCCCAACACGAGAGCTGAGACTGCCGGAACTCAGGTCTCAACTCTGCCATTTTACCGGCTTTTAGGATTCCGGACAGGTTTGGTGGCCCACACCTCCCTTGTGGAGACTGATAGGATGCTGAGCTTTAAAACAGTATCTGGCATCACCAGGTGGCGGTGTCCACAAGCCCACCCCACCCCCACAGCTAACTCCCTGTGCTGATTTCCTGGCCCTACCCACACCCCCCAGGCCTGCAGATACACAGAGCAGGGGTCTCTCCTACTGCCTTCCTAGGGTTGTGGTGACGGGAGTAGATGGAGGTGCTTATAACCATGACCCAGGGCCAAGCGCATGGCCCATGGAGACCACTGACCATGTTCTGGCACAATCATGTGCCCAGGGCTTCCAACATGCTGTTACCTCCAGGAGCCCAGGAGGATGTAAGGTGAAGAGAGAGACAGGAAAAGAAGGGGCCGGACTTCCAGATCCTTTAGATTAGGAGTGAGGGAGAATGGGGACTTAGTAGTAAACGATCTGTAAAAGAAAATTAATTCTCTCCAGAGAAGGGGGGAAGGAAGGAGGGAAGGAGGGAGGGAGAAAGGGTACTTATTTGCTTCATCCCTCGCAGGCATTCCCAGCTCCCCCAGTACACAGGGGGAAGGGTAGGGAGGAGAGGAGGACTGATACAGGAAGCTGAGTGAGATGGTCACTCCTGGGGGAGACTGGGTAGGCTCCATGCTTGACCCCAGGGTGCAGGCCCCGCCCTCTGAGCCGGGGCCTTCCTGGAAACAGGGAGGAGCAATTCCTAGGCCTACCAGGCTCAGGCTCTGGACCCCTAGGGATGTGGGTTGAGGCAGGATGCATTTTCAAGGAAGAGCTATTATGCAGCTTTGTAATGGAGGCCTCTCCTCTATTAGTGTGAGAGACATTGTGGGGGAGGAAGGCAGCTTCCAGGATGACACCTTGGTTCCAGGAAAAAAAAAAAAACAACAAAACAAAGGCCTGCAGTGAGTTAACCCTCTGATGACCCCCACCTCTGTCAGAGTGACCACTGGGTGACAGCCCATCTGAGTGGACGCTGGGGTGAATCAGACCCCAGTCTGAACCCTCACAAGACCTTAGGGACTCACTCCTCACGGAGCAAGTGGGAAGAGTAACCTTCATGTAGTGTGGGCAGCATAAGCATTAAGTGAGATAGGTATTTATTCTGGCACCAACCCCCGCACCACGATGCTAGGTGACCTTGAGCAAAGTGATTGTAGCTCTCTGAACCCATCTCCCCTTCTCTGAAGTGGGGATGATAACTCATACCCCAGCTGGGGGAATTAGATGTGAAAAAAGTAAAACCCATCAGTACCCAACTCACTGTAGATGGTTCATACAAAGTGTCCAAAAGAGTCAGAAAATACAGGTTAGACATATTGTTAATCATGTTTCAGTTACATTTTCAAATAATATATTCATACGTTTATTCATCATTATCATTAAGATCTGCCAAAGGGGGGACAGCACAGAGGCCAAAGCTAGCTTTCTTCGGGAATAAACCGCCAGGCTGCTTCTAAACAATGAGTTCAGCACCAGCATAGGGTTTGGATAGATTTTGTCAGGGGTCTGGAAGTTAAGCCCTGGGCCAGGAATTTCGCACCTGGCCAGCTGTGTGCTGTGCAAGGTCCTCCGTGCAGGTTTAGCAGACAGTTTCTGTCTCCCAGAAGCAAGTTTGGAGAGAAAGGAGCCTTGGGAAATACATGGGCAGACCTATCAACTGCCCAGCCACAGTTTCAGGCCAAGAACTTACACACTAAACGTAGTGTGTCCAACTGCTGACCTCAAGAAAAAAAAAAATGTAGAGTTCGCACCCTAGTTTCCCTACGCTTCCAGGCTTTACTGCGTCCTTAGTTAATTCGTTAAGTAAATAGGTGGACACCAGGACAGTATGAGATCCCCTCCTCAGTTCTATTGCCTTTCCTCAGTACACACAAACTCCCAGGGCTGGGCATAGAATCACCTTGCTTCAGACCCCGAGCCCAGGGATCTTCCTGGCACAGCTGCCCTAAGCCCAGTGCACCTCACAGCCCCATCTGTACAACGGAACGAACGCATCACCTCACCCGCTAGGCCCACAAAATGTGTACAAAATCCTTCCGCAAGGCCATGCTGCCAGCTCTCTGGGAACCAGCACGGCCCTGGTGTCTATGGCAGCTATTGTGAGGAGAGCGGGTCCAGTAGGAGCTCACTGTGCCCCTCTCTCTTTGCAGGGAGCCTCTGTTCCGCCAGCTCTGTGCCCTCCACTGGCTGCTGGAGGCCCTGACCATTGACCACGCCCACCACACCATGAAGCCAGTGATCACCTGCTGGAATCCCAAGTATGCTTCCTCTTGCCATAAACTGAACACACTCTGTGGTGGTGGGGGGGGGGGGGGGGGGGAAAGGAGGGGCTCCTGGCCATGGGTCCCGGCTTTTTCTTTTCTGTGTTTGGTGGGCGGGTTTAATTTAGGAGTTCTATGTGGGAGTCAAACCAGGATGCGCTGGAGCAGCAGCTCTTGTGGACCTGCAAGAGCCAACTTGGGACACATTTAGGGATGTCACACTGGAATCAATCTGCCAGAATGAGAGCAATTACACTGTGGGAAGTGACAACAAGGCGCACAGCACGCTGCGGAATCCTCAGTTAGCTTTCTCTCTGACGCTCGAGGAGCGCTGTGTCTCTCCAATGCTGTTTTTTAGTTGTGTTACTCTTCCTCTTCTCTCGTTTATTCTTCCTCCCCACCCTCTTCCTCTTTTATTCTTCCTCCTCTCTTCTATTCTTCAAGTCATGGGGCTTGAACTCAGGGTCTGGGCACTTTCCCACTTTCCTTGAGCTTTGCTTGCTCAAGACTAGCGCTGCACCACTTTGAGCCACGAAGCTCCACTTCCTTCCTTTGTGCTTGTTCTTTATTTCGAGAGGAATTTTTTTTAAATTCTTGCTTTGTTTTGTTTTTCTTTGCTTTGTTTTAATTTTCTCTGTCGTTTTATATTAGGATGGGGTTCTCCACTTGGACCCAAGAGGGTCTATAGTATTTAGGTCCCTAGAGCAGTTTAACTGAGTTAACACAGACAGACGCTCCACCATATGGTGTCTAAGCCAAGGAAAGTGCTAGGGTGTCACCACCAGAAGGAAGCATCACGCAAAAGCTCTGCTGCAAGAACTGAACTGTCACACCGGTGGGACAGGGAATGCGCATACCTGTCAAGACGTTGACACTTGAGCTGGAGGCGTGGCTCATGTAGCCCGGCCGCCTCCCAGTGATCCAGGCTTCTTCCTCTGCAAATGGGTTGTAATCACCTTCTTCCTCATCCCCCAAGTCCCTCCTCATAGTTCTACTTTGTCTCTGCTACCAGAGCCCTGGAAGGCTAATCTCAAATTAAAACAAACATAATTCATGCATCCATAAACAGGATAGTAACCAACGTATTTACCATGTTTGTTTGGGATGACATTACAACCGCAAGTTGCTTCTGAATCCATGGCTTACTATTAAAAAAAAAAAAACAGTAATCTATTTCTTTTGTAGAAATCCAATAATGTAGGAAAAGGTATTGCTAAGGGAACTTTTGCATAAAGTGAGTTTAGGGACTTGGGAGACAGATGAGGGGGGGTTGGAGGGGGAGGGGCAGCGGGGGCTCCACCACGGCACCCCAGTTACTTCCAAAATATATATTTTTTGGGGGGGGTCCGGTCGTGGGGCCTGAACTCTGGGCCTGAGCTCTGTCCCTCAGCTCTTCAGCTCAAGGCTAGTGCTCTACCACTTGAGCCACAGCCCCACTTCCGGCTTTTCTTTTCTGCTTATGTGGTGCTGAGGAATCGAACCCAGGGCCTCAGGCATGCAAGGCAAGCGCTCTACCACTGAGCCACCTTCCCAGCCCCTTCCAAAATATATTTACGGTTTCCTGAATTTTTTAAACCCAGCCTTTAAACATTTCCTATGCGTTATTTATTTTTCTTTAAAACAAAGCTGTCCCAAGTTATATGTGGATAGCATTTACACTCAGGAAAATCTTCAACACATTCACAAGTGTATACACGGTATGAAAGCTTTTTATTTCCTCGTCGAAACCCTTTCTTTAGAGCAAAGCCCTTTTAAAGGTCTAAGGGGGTACAATTCCAAATCTTTCTAATACTCTCCCTTTATAAATATATTCAAGCACACACATTTTTTTTTAAGAGAAATGGGCTCACGACGCCCCACACACTGCCTCGGCGTGACTTTCTCCCTGGGCGGTGACTGGCGCAGGCATCTTTCTGTGCTGGTCCACACAAAGCCTCCACATTCCTTGAATATTGAAAAGAATGCGCAGCAGGGCATTCTATTGTGTGCACAGAACATAATTCAGATAATCATTTCTCTATTGACAGACACCAAGGCTGGTCCCATATTTTGACATTTTGAGTAATACTTCACAGAACATCCTTATACCTGTCTTTTATGGCCAGCTGCAAACATTTCTTTTGGCTAGATTCTGAGAAATGCAACTTGCAAGGTCAAAACAACATCTAATTTGTGTTCACAGCTGATCGCTGGATTTAAGGAAAAAGGCCCTTGAGCCAACAGACTTTCCATAGCATACCATCTCCCCCCACCCCTCACCCCCTCAACGAGCCCCCCCCCCAGCAGCAGAATCTGCCTCTGACATGTGGACGCCCATCTTCCCATACCAGAGAAAGCACACCATGGATGATTTGAATTGAGGGGGAAAGGACTATCTGTATTTCTTTCAGTTATTCGTGAAAACGTGCTCAGAACAGGAGCCAGAGTTGCTCGTAGTGGTGAGAAGGTACTGTAGTCACCCTGAAAGTAGGTGTGATGCGTGTAAGGGCCACATCCACAAAGTAGGTCGGGATGTGTGTAAGGACCGAATCTACAAAGGCCTGGGAATGTCTGGATCTCTGCAGAGAGCACAGTCCAGGAGGAGTTGCACAGAAAGGCAGTGTATTTGCTGGGGTTTGTTTCCCTTAGTGCAATGTTGCCTCTCTGTGGGGAATTTTGTGTGTGTGTGTGTGTGTGTGTGTGTGTGTGCGCGCGTGCCAGTCTGAGGCTTGAACTCAAGGCCTGGGTGCTGTCCCAGAGCTTTCTTGGCTCAAAGCTAGCGCAATACCGCTTGAGCCACACACCCCCACTTCCAGTTGTTTTGTTTTGTTTTGTTTTTGCATTTTGATACTTAATTGGAAATAAAAGCCTCACAAACTTTCTTGCCCCAGCTGACTTTAAACCAGATCCTCGGCTCTCAGCCTCCTGAATAACTAGGATAACAGGTGTGAGCCACCAGCACCTGGCCAATGGGGAATTTTTTAATTTTGGGGTCAGTGATGTGCCCGTGTTTAACAACCGGCTCCTCAAGGCTGGTGTGGACAGCCCACTGTGGCTGATTTCACAGTCACCAACACGATGAAGCGGAATGGGATTTGGGAAGAAATATACATCAGTCCTTCAGAGCCGGTGTGATCTGGATCTAGCACATCACAATATATAGTTATAACACATAATTGATCATTATGATTAGTGGAGGATTAAGTTCCCCCAGAAGGTACCAGAAATTACCCTCTTTAGCCAGCAAGGAAAGTGGAAGGATGGCCTCTCTTTAAATCACTATCTCTGATGTTTTTTTCTTCATACCGTCCCATGAATTTTCCCCAGTCGTCTGAAAACCCAGACAGAGTTTGAGTGTCTGAGAGCAAAATTGTGGGCATCAGATGGACCTCGCAGAGCCCAGGCTTCCGGACAGAACTCGGCCTGCCCAGTCCCCTGGCACCCCTCTAGCCATCCCAGAACGACAGACAGGACCAGACCTGCCCTTCCTGGGGACTGCAATCAGCAGGATGTGTCATGAGGAAGCTGATAGGCAGTGTGACAGTGGCCGGGCAGTGGGCTTTGATTTAAATTGAATCCTCCAGGAAAGCCTCGCCCAGAAGGGAACATTGGCAGGAAATCTCATCTAACAGCATCCACTCTGATTCTCGAGCGCGAAACCTGGGAGTGGGACAATGAGTGTGGCAGGACTCGGGTCAGAAGGGCCACGTGGCCATCTTCCCCTGAGATCCACGGAGTCCCTAAAAGACTCCTGTCCTCTTTCCTGGCTCCCAAACCAGCATTTTCTTCCCCTCAGCCACAACAGACATGTGAACACATCTTAAATCAGCCTCTGAGAAACAGACGTTTTACCCCAAATGTGAGTTGGGAAAAAAGTAAGAGTGAAGTATTTGAGAAAATTGCTCTGATTGCATCTGTGGATAGACATCTTGAAGTGACCGCCTGGAACAAGATGTGCTCCACAGACAGAGTTAAGAGATGAGACCGCTCAGAGCTCTCTCCCATTGATTTCTCACAGACGGCAGAACAGGGAAATTATGGCCCGAAAATTATAGCTTCTTCTCCCCCCTGAAGCTGCCCTCGTGCCTCATTCCCAGCCATCATCTCCTCCTCTAAGCCACACTAAGATCTCTGCTGAAAAAAAACAACAAACCATGTCTGCTATTGTTGTGAATAGCTGAACGGTATTCAGTTCTCCGTGCAAAACACCCACCAAACAATCAACTCTGTTTCTCTTATCTGAACAGCAATTCTCCGACACTGCTAATATCACCCTTCCCCATTTTACAGATGGGGCCACTGAGACCCAGAAAGATGAAAACTCTTAGACAAAAATAAAAATAAATAAATAATCACACATACAGGAACTGATGTGGCAGAGGAACAATGGGTCTCCCCAGGGCCAGCCACAGTAGCCCTTCTCCAGTTCTGATCTTCAGACAGACTGTTGGACAAAGTTTCACACTTTGAACAAACCGCATCTCAGCAACTTAACAATACCGAGCTCAGCTCTGGCTCGGCCTCCATGGCCAGCACCAGCGCTCTGTTCATTACAGTCACACGCCAGCCAAGCCGACAGAGCGCTCCATCCTAACACCAACTTCTGCCATCAAGGAAGCAGGAGAAGGAGTCTGATTCCTCAGGACCAGCTCGTAAAGCATCTGCCCCAAAGCACCACCTGTCACCTGTGCTCATGTATTTTTGAACAAAAGCCAGTCGCGAGCTATTCCTGACTTGAAGGAGCAGGGGAGGAGTCAGGTGTTGCTGTCTCTGAGATGGTTTGGTGGGCAGTGCTAAAGATTTGCCCACCAGGCCTTGGGGGAAGGGATGCCAACTGGGCCCTGCCCTTCACCACGAGGGGTGCGGTGGATGGCACTGCGCAGCTGGTTTTATTCCTTCCTTCCCCTATTGATCTTCCCTTTTGGTTTATTTGCTACTGAAAATGAAACATCAGAGAGACTGATTCTGTCTAACCAGGCTTTTTCCTTTATCAATGGTTTTGCAGAGCAAGGGCTCTGGGCTTTTGAAGGTCTGCGGGGATTTTTCGGCGTTTTGAGCTCATTTAGCCGGCCGCCTAAAGTCGCAATAGATTTTTGGGGTCGTCTTGGAAGACAGGCATTAGTGGAAAACTTCCATCTTTCGGATTGGACCTGAATATTTAAGATTTCTGAAAGCTTGGCTAGCACCAGATTTAATTTTAAAAGGAGAAAGGGGTTGCTTTTGAACTTCACGAAGAAGGCTGGCGGCTCAGCAGGGGCTGCCCTAGCAAAGGGAAAAGCAAAAGGCCCTGTGGTCTTGAAAGAAACACTCCAACACAGAACCCGCTAAAGCTTCCCGTCGGTGAGCTTTAAATCAGACTTCAAAAGTGCCTGCTAGCTTAAATATTGTTTATAAGACCGAAGTACTGCTTCTTCTTCCTCTGGCTAGATTTTAAATATTCCCTAATTTGATTACTCTGGGGACATGCCGACAGAACCCACTTCAATGAGCTTCCCTGTTAATTATTCAGAGGGCTTTTTATTGTGTAATCAAATATAAAGTCTTACAAAAAGCTTGGAGACACAGTCTCATACCCACCCTCCACAGCCCAACTTCCACCTTGGGGTAGGTTCGTGTTTCTTGTGGCTTTGAGCTGGTGAGGAGGCCCCTCATCTTGTAGAATGTCGACAGATTGAGGGGGTGATTCCCCTAGCAGGAGATGCTAGCCTTAAATTCAGTTTATCTCAATTACCTTCCCCCCCCCCCCCCCCCCCCCGCCTTACAGCTGAGCACATTGCCCTGCCACAAACTTCCAGCAGCCCCTGGCAGGTCTGGACTCCATGTGAGTGTCCCCCCCATCAAAATGGGCCTGCTTGACTCATTTCCTTAAGCCCTTATTCTGTGTCAGTGAAGGGCAGTAAAATGCTTAAAAGAGTCCCAGCCATCTAAAATCCTTTTTGAAGAAAAAAAGGAGTAAAAGAAGAGATGGCTGGTTGGTTGGTTGGGTGGATGAATGGATGGAGGACAAAGGTATACAGGCATGGATGTATGCAGTGTATGGATGATGGGTGGGAAGATGGATATTTGAATGAACAGAGAGAGGGGTAGGTGGGGAGAAGGGTAGAGTGGTACAGGGACGGGTGGATTGATGAATGGGGGGTGGGTAGATGCATATATGGATGGATGAATGCATGGATGGATGAGTGTATAAATGAGTGGATAGAAAGGTGGGTAGGTGGACAGATGGATAGGTGGTTATTTGGATGGATAGGAGATGGATAGATGGATGAAGAGGTTCAGGGACAGAAAGAGGGAAGGAGGGAAGGGGGGGAGGGACCAAGGGAGGGAAAGAAGACTGGTAAGCCAAGGAATCAATCAGTGGACGAGCAGCAGTAGTGGAGAAATCACACTAAGATTCCCACTCTGTTATGAATAGAGACCTAATGTCCCACAGTCATGAATCCAAAAATCTAAAGGCTCTGAAAACTCCATTTCCTCATAACTCATTTGGTCGCCAATCCAGAAGAAGCCAAATTGATTTGCCAGAACTTGACCTGAAGCTACTTAAGAGTCTTTATTCCTCTTGCCTAGTGTAAATACCCACAAGCTCCATTCCAGACACACTCGTGTTATGCGTTATGAGATGCTACCCCAGCTCCTTGCCATACATGCAACACCTTCCCAAGATTGCATGCTTGGCAACGTATCTGCTTCCAGAGGCTTCAGTCACAGGAACATGGCCATGGCAATAACATGAACCTGCTAGGGTTCAAAGTCCTATGCAGAAAGTTCCTGACCCGGAAGGAGGGATCCAGGCTTTATTTATTTATCCAAGATCCTGGAGCTTATTTCATTGGGGAGGAGAGCACTTCAGAAAGAAATTTTTCTTTTCTTTACTCTGTTTTTTTTTTTTTTTTTTTTTGGTCAGTTGTGGAGCTTGAACTCTGGGCCTGGGCATTGTCCTTCAACTCTTCAGCTCAAGGCTAGCACTCTGCCACTTGAACCATAGCACCACTTCCAGTTTTCTGGTAGTTTATTGGAGATAAAAGAGTCTCACAGGCTTGCCTTGCCTGGGCTGGCTTTGAACCGTGATCCTCAGATCTCAGCCTCCTTAGTAGTTAGGATGATAGGCATGAGCCACCGGCACCCAGCTTAGGAAGAAAATTTTCTAAAAAAATTTCTTTGTAAGAAAATTAGGCACCGGGGCCTGTGGGAGACCTATGTAGGAGAGAAGCCCTGAAACTCTGGGTGAATGACTCAAGCTCTTCCATCCCCTAAGTTTGCTTCCTCATCTGCAAAATGGGATTCTGATGGCTCCATGACTGAAACTGTCTCACGAGAACTCACACAGAACATCATAGAGAATTTTTTCCACACCAATAATTTTCATTGTACAACCCACCCCACCTGCTCCATCCAACCCCACCCAGAAACACTGTGTATTTCTCAGAGCTGTCCCTGAAAAGGCAAGAGACTCAGAAATGAACACACTGTTCTGTTCACCCCAGAATTAACAGCAGACTTGCCCAGGGCCCAAGTCCAGCATGCAAATTGATGCAAATTACATGCAAACGAATTTCACCTCCCTCAGCCCCACCCCCCTTCTAGGCGGGCTTTTCCACTCCAGAAATTGCAGCTAGAGGGCTGGAGGTACGGCTCAATTGGTAGAGAGCCTGCCTGGCAAGCACAAGGCCCTGAATTCAAACCCAGTTCTGACAAAGAAATGGTACTTAAGAACTGTCCCTCCTGCTTCTTCTCAAATACAAGATCGGAAAGGTGGGGAGGAGGGATTCATCCAAGAGCTAGCTACCATTTCTACTCCATGTATTGCATCTCTTTAAAAAAAAAAAAAGAAGAAGAAGAAGAAAGAAAAAAGTAATAAACGGAGGCTCTGCCAATGGAAAACTCATTAAGCTGTTTCTCACTCAGGGACCCAGGAGGAAGCAAGAGCTCAATCAAGAAGATCAATAAGGACAAGTCCATGGGGCAGAGGTGGGAGCACTTTGTCACGGCACCGAAGGTAACCAGTGCCGCCGGCCACTCCACCCGGGGCTGCTGGCCCGGCCGGCCGCGCCTCAGAGCCCGGGGCCAGTCCTGTCTCCCGTGGGAAACGGGAGGGAGTATTTCTGGTCTTATTTTTAAGTTAAGTTAGCTTTCAGAAGGGAAGCCAGACAACATACTGCCGGATGTGGGGAGGGTTTTTTTTTTTGTAAATTTTAATTAAAATGGTTATCTGTGGATTATAGGAGAAATGACATTTGGCTGGACATGACAGAGGTGGGAGGGAGGGGGGCTGCTGAGCAGCTGCTTAATAAGATGTCACCAGTAGGAAATGGCCTCACTCCATCCCCTCTCCCCCTCTCTCCCTCCCTCTAGCTCTCTCTTACGCTCTCTCTCATGCAACACACACAGATCAGGAGGAAAAAAGTGAGTGATTCAACAGGATTTTCATCAAGCTGAAACACGTGTTTACTATTGAGCTATCATGAGATCCATTCTTTTCAATCCAGTTATTCCTAAACCCCAAACCTGCCCATTCACCTATTCAACAAACAAGCGTGCTAATGATGATGATCATCATCATCATAAAAGCAAAGGGTGATGTTGACATAAGACGTTAGACACAGCTCACGTCTGGAGTATTGGCTGAACTTGTCCCTGGCTCACAAAATGGATGCCGTGTTCGATCTCTGCCAGCCCCAGAGTGTTAGAGGAGAACCCGGGGAAGCTGGGTCTGACCCTTCACACCAATCAAAAATTCAGCTGCGCAGGAAGCAGAGGCAGGACCATCCTGAGTCTGAAGTCCAGGCTGCCTGTGCCAAGTTAGGGAGACCTAATTTCAAAAACAACATGCTGGGGCTCTGGAGGTAAAACACTTAACTACCATGTGCAAGGCCATGGATGCAAACCTCAGCACTTGAAAATTTGCAAAAGAAGGGAAAAGGAGGCCTTTAAAAACAGGAGAATGTTTTTATACGAATAGCCTTAACTACGACTGTACAACTTTAGAGGCCACTTCTCAGCACTTGCAATGGCCCGAGCTCTGTACCAAAGACGCTCTCTCGGGTATGATTATCCAGTTCTGCCTTCTTAAAAAAAAAAAAAAAAACCCACGGGCCACTCTCCCTCTCTTCTGCTGGGAAGGAGCCAGCGGGAGCCCAGAGAGGTTAAGTGACTCACACAAAGTCACACAGAGCCCGGACAGCTAATCTTGCTGTGGGTGTTAAACGCTGAGCCCTTCAGAGGCCTCCTCCCGGCGCCAGAACCACAGCTGCCCGGCCATGACGTGTTTCTCGCCATGTCCCCCTCTTTGATCAGCACGCTCCCAGACCTGGAGAGTTAAGAGTCGCTGCCTTATCACAGCAGGTTGCCATGGAGACATTGCGCGCCTCCATCTCTGCCACACGCCTGAAAACAATGTCTTTCCGGAATATTCAGCACTCCCTCGCACGTTTGCAGGTCAAACCCGGTCTGGACCGTGGCACGCTGGAGTGGGGTGGAGGGAGGGTCGGGGGACGCTGAGTAAGGATGCACGGAACCTGCTTCCCATTAGGCAGCACCTTCGACACGTTCCCTCCTCCTCCCCCGACTGGGGTCTCTCCACCCCAAAACTGAGGATTTGGAGAAGGACCTCTCTTCCTCTTCCCCCACCTTTCCCTTTCCCCTGTGCAACCAAGAAATCCTTCCCCCCTTCTAGTGCAGGGAACTCCAGGCTATGTTCTGGCCAATCCAAATATTCCTCTCACCCCAGACGCCATGCTAATAAAGGAGAAAAACAGCAGTCGTGAGGTCTGGGGCAAAACGCACCCTGGCACAGCTAAAGACCTTTTGCCTAGCTTTGGCTCACTTTTGTTTTTTCTTTTCTGCACGAGAATAGGTGTTTTGTTTTTGTTGGTCGTGGGCCTTGAACTCTGGGCCTGGGCGCTGTCCCTCAGCTCTTCAGCTCAAGGCGAGCGCTCTACCACTTGAGCCACAGCGCCACTTCCGGTTTTCTGGTGGTTTATTGGAGATAAGAGTTTCACGGACTTTCCTGCCCGGCAGGCTGGTTTTGAACTGCAATCCTCAGATCTCAGCCTCCTGAGTAGCTAGGATGACAGGCAGGAGCCACCGGCGTCCGGCTCCGGTGTGTTGTTTTTAAGAAAACCCACACCCTGGAAGTGGTGCTGTGGCTCATGCGGTAGAGCGCTCGCCTTGAGCTGTAGAGAGCAGGGACAGCGCCCAAGCCCAGAGTTCAAGCCCCACGACCAACAAAAAAAAGAAAGAAAGAAAACCCAAACCCTATTAAGTAAAACTCTCGCAGTGTGTAATCCCCTCTACAGATAAATATGTCTCCCTATGGGTTTCAGCTTGCAAGCCTTGCTCCTTTGACAGTGCCAGCAACCAGTTGGGGAAATCTCTGTCATCCAAAATCAGTCCCTACCGTGGTAGAGCCCAGCAGCTGCTTCACATTGATCCTGAGTGGAAATTTTATTTAAAAAAAAGACAAACATCTGGGGGATTTAACTCAACTCCAGGAAAATCAGTTCCATAAAGGGCACGTGAGATGCTGAAGCCGTCTGCCATGTCCTCCTGCATTTTATGTCTCTGCCACTCTCAATTAGTCCAGAGTGTCACTCTTCACTCTGGGTTTCCTGGCTGGAGTGGTTAACTGAATTTTAATGAGTGGCAACTTTGGGGGCACAAGGTGACACGGAAGCGTAAGGGAGATGCATGCACAGCGTAGACATGAAGATCCGTTCTGAGATGACCGCAGTCTATTTCTTCTGTTTTACAAATGAGGAGATTAAGGCAGTCCAGGCTCACTTACTCAAGAGCCCTCGGCTCTGAGTCCAGTGCTCATTGCAAGATTCCAGGCTCCCAGGTAATGCCACCCACACAGCTTTCAAAGAGAATACTGCTTTGAAGAACCTGGTTCCCAGTGTTGAGAACTCATCCAGCGGCGGGTGAGATGGAAGGAGGCGGCCTTTGCTTGGGTTCCTTCCCCGGGATGGCGAGGGGTGAGGGGTAGGGTGTTTGTCCAGTGGCAAGCTCTTGGCTAGCTGCAAAATCAAGACGAAGGTAGAATCTCGTGCCATGTTGCTAATTTATCTAAGGAGAGAATATGCGAATTCTTGGAACTTCCTTTTCCCTTCTTAACGCTCATTGTGCAAATCATGTTCCTCTTTGGAGCTCTGGATGAAACAAATGCAGACCCCAGTTCCCCCAGCCTGGCACTTTCTGAAGTGTCCTGCCATTTCTGTAGAATGTTGCTGTAAGACTTACGGGAAAAGATCCAAACATGGGAAGTGATCACACCTGACATCTCAGTCTTCCCCCTTCTCTCCTCCTCTTCACTCCCGTCTGACAAATCTCTCCCCTCGTCTATAGGAAACTTCCAGCCACGTTCAAGGCCCTACAAGGTAGACAATCAAAATCTTACTTCTGCTACCTGATCGAGTCAATTCCTCCACCCCATTCAGTGTGTATTAAGACTTGGTGTGGCCTGCAGTACTGCCCAGGAAAGGGGACACAATGAGCTTTGTCTAAAGATGTCACCAGCCTTGGGCCTCCCAAGCACTTTCATTGTTAAGTGTTCTCCAGTGAAACTGTTGCGATTAATTGAGTGTCGTTTATAGCCCAGCCGCTCTGAAACTTGCAAGTTTAAAAAGAACATGACCCTAGAAATCACATTCTGAATTCACACACACACACACACACACACACACACACACACACCTATAACCAGTTTTCTTCAACTTGTTTCTGCTCTCAAATCTGCATTCTCCTCACTGGACTCCCCTCCCCCTCCCTAATCCATCCCAACAATGTCCCCACCACAACTGACCACCCCGCCCCCCACCAGCATGCACACAGGTCTGCTTCCTCTGCCCCCACTCCTAGACATCAGGCCTAGAATGATCTCCACCCTGCATTCTGCAGAGGTCGGGCGTATGCCTCTCTTCACCCTTTTGGCCCAGGCGTCGGCTGGGTGAAGCCGATCGACACCTCGTGGGCTCTAACCCAAGGTGTAGCGAAAGATGTTAGACCCCCGCTATTCTACAGTTAGAAGTGGACTCTGGTGTTTAGCTCAAGAAACAACCAAAGGCTGTTCTGGGCCTCAAGACATCACTGCAGGACATGCCGAGCTCCCAGCCATGACAGTGTGAACAACTCCACGCTGTTCAATAGAAGAGGCCCTGACACATGCCTTCCGGAGAACACGCATCTTTCAATGACCTTGATTTATAACAGAAGGTCACTCACAACCCAGGCTATAGCTCACGATGTTTAGGAGGAATTCTCGTTTTTCTTTCCTTCCTCTGTCCCTCAACCATCTCCCTTCCTCCCTTCCTCCTTTCCTCTCATCTTTCCTTCCTTTTCTTCCTCCCCTAATTATACTCCCCCTCCTTCTTTTTCCTTTTTTCCTTTCTCCCAGCCTCCATCCTTCCTTCCCATCTCCATCCTTCCTTCTTTTCTCTCTCCCTCCCTTCTCCCTTTCTTTCTGCCTTCCTCCATTTTTGCCTGCCTTGCTCCTCCCTTTCTTTCCTTCTTCCAACCTTTCTCCTTCCATTCTAACATCCCCCTTTCCCTTTCCTTCAGACCAAGAAATTCAAAATCCCCATAATGCGCATCACCGCCAGAAAGCCCAGCCGGCGAGCCTCCACCCTCAGCCTGTCTCGGACCAGCGGCGGGTCCTCTCCCCAGAGCAGCATGGTCTCTGTGAACCCTGGTTCTGATGAGCTCCCAAGCGTGGTTACCCCGGCGACTGGCAGCAAAGACGTTGAGGATAACGAATCCTCTTCAACCAAGCCAGATGACGAGTCCCTCCATATCCGTAAGTTCGACCTCAGACCCTCACGCGCTGCACGGTGGCCTTCGAGTCTCCCAGAGTCCCCCGGTCCTGGCCCCAGACACACTTCGCTGAGACACCCACGGTCCCTTTCCTTTGATGTGGCAGAGGCCAGAACTACATTTTATTATGTGCTCTCGGAGGGAACAGCCCATGGTGACAAGTGGTCCTTTCCGAATCCTAAATATGGATTTTTAATTTAATACATCAGTATCTCCTAGGTGTAATTCCAAGTAGTTGAGACTGGGAGGCGGTTAGCTCAGACAAAAGAACAACAACAAAAACAATCAGCTCTGGAGACCATTAGACTGTCTCAGGGTGTGCGCCTGCCATGCTGGCTATCCAGAAGCTGATGAGCACAGGAGGATTGTGTGTCAGAAGCCAGCTCATGCAGAAGAGACCTCAACCACCCGTCATCTCAGCTACGCTCATGGTAGGAAAGGCAACACAGGAGGACCGCAGACCAGAGGCGTACTTGGCAAGGAAGTGAGCCCTAATCAACAATAACTAAATTTCCTCCCGTCCCGTAGGTCGTCTCTTGGTTCTGGCAATTGTCTCCTCACTGGTGGACTCCTCTTCCTGTTTTCTGGGCAACTGGGGCCCTATTCAGAAAAAAAAAAAAAGGTTACCAACGCATTCCCTGTGGTTCCCTGTAGTCAATTTAAAGTTTCAAGTCTTTATTTGAGCTCTTTGACCCACTTGGGATTGGTTTCTGTACAGGGTGAGAGGCCGTGGTGCAGTCTCAGGCTCCCAATGGCTCTGCCAGCACCATCTGTTGAAGAGATTTATGGGTTTTGGGGGGGCCCCTTTGTTGAAAATTTGATGGCCGTAGCTACATTTTAGTCATCAAGGGTTCCAGGATTTTCTCTGCTCTGTTCCACTGGTCTTCATGTTTGTTTTGGGCTCTTCTTGTTACTGCTGCTCTAGAGTATAATGTGAAGTCTGACATTGTGCTACCTCCAGCATTGTTCTTTTTACTCAGGATTGCTTTCTTGGAATCTTTTAGGCCTCCATATGCGTTTTTGGATTATTATTTTTTATTTCTGTAAAGAATGACCTTGGGGCCTGAAGGGCATCCTGTTGGATCTATAGATTGCTTTCGGCACTATGGCCATCTCATGACACTCATCTTGCCAGTCCATGAGCACAGGAGATCTTTCCATCTTCTGGTGTTTTCTTCAACGCGCTTCTCCAAGGTTTTAGAGTTTCCATTAACAGAGGTTCCTCACTTCCTTGGTTAAGTTCACGCCTAGGTGTTTTAGTGTTCTTCAGGTTATTGTGGATGGAATTGCTTTCCTATTCTTTCTCAATTTGTTTGTTGCTAGTATACAGGAATTTTGTTAGAAGACTTTGGGGACAGGACCCCACCACAGGAAGTGATTACGCCTGAAACCTCAGTCTACCTGTTTCTCTCTTCCTCTTCCCTCACCTAAGAAATCTCTCCCCTGATCTGTAGGGAACCTCCAGCCATATTCAGAGCCCTACAAGGTAGCCAGTCAAAAGCTTACTTCTGCTCACACTCAGTGTACTCCTGGGAATCCTTGGTCATGGATTTGGGGGAGGGGATCAGGCCATGAGAGGCCGCAGCCTGCTGTCCCCCATGATCCACCAAGAAGCCATTACACAGCCCTGAAAATGAGAGGCTGGCCAAACGGTGCAGCATTCAGAACAAGACACAGGAATTCCAAATCAATGTGAGGAGGTTTTAGAGAAGCCAAGGAGAGGCTAGGAGATTAATTTACTCTTGTCAGGGCCGTGACACACAGGATGGAGGTTAAGGGTGTGGGTGGGGGCTAAAAGAGAAGGGCTTTCCCTCCGAGGAGTGAATACGGTGGAGATGCGCCTCTCAGCACCTGCTGTGTACCAGTGTGTGCTGGGCCGCAGGTAAACAAGGAAGGCATCTGGGCCTGCAAGGATCCCGCACACCTTTCCTCCTGTGTTGGCATCGTTTCCTGCCCACAGGCACACAGCAAGCAGAAAAGTAAGGCATCCATGGTGCTTCCACTGTGGAGTTTTACACATGCCCTTGCGGGAAGGCCGCCCAGCATGCCAGTCCCGCGGTCCCGGGCTGCGTCCACACGCCCTTGGGCTGGCTTGCTTAGCGGTGGGGTAGCCAGACGCCAAGGCGTCGGTTGCTACTGCATGGCTCCCAAGAGAAGGGAGGAAAGCAGAGCTCTTACATGAATAGACTTCTGAACACACACGCACCCGCGCACACACATGCGTGCGCACACACGACACAGGAGATTCGTAGAGATGTGGCAGTAGGGAACGTGAGGGTGATAAAGCAGAAATAAAGGTTAGACTCAGAAAAAACAGAATGGCGCACAGCGTACCGGGAATGAAGTCGAAAACGGCCGCGTGCTGATGCTTCCTGCAGCCTGCTCCCCCTCCCCCTTCCTCCCCCCCCCCCCCCGCCCTCCACCGCCCCAGGGATGACATCCAAGCGAGGCTAGACATGGGTGATCTTGGAGGCACGGGTTCTAGCTTTTGGGGGTCTTCTAAGCATGACTATTAAGACCTGAGCTGGAGCTCCAGCCTGGCCACAGGCACCTGCCGCAGGGTGGAAGACGCCTGCTCTGGTGTTGGCACCTTCACCAAGGCCTAGACCCAGCGCATCATCTCCCCGGCTCCCCCCTTCCCACAAGTTCTTTGCTTATTCATTTGGCAACTACTGGCTGAGACCCCAAGCGCCCCACACGCTCAACCCCCAGGCTAAGAACTGGGCCCAGCCATGAGCCACCTTGGCTCAAGGTCAAGAGTGACCTCTCGTGTTTCCGTCAGATCTGCAGAAGCTTCTGGAGATGGTTCGAGAAGATGCCAAAAGGTCAATGTTGTTGGAGAACGAAATGCAAAGGACAGCTCCCAGGTGGGTTCTCTTCACCCCTCAGACGGGGGGGTGGAGGCCAGCGCACCTCGACATACTCGGTGCTAAAACTAACCATAGCAGTCGCTGGTGATTGGGGGGGGGTCTTCTCTGTGACAAGCTCGGAGCTATTGACTTTGTTCCTGTGCACAGACCTCTGGGTTTCTAGACCTCTGGGTTTCTAGAGCAACTCTGCAAGGTAGGTGCGATAAACTTTATTTCACAAATAAGAGAACAAAGCTCAGAGAGGCTGAGTGACCTCCCCAAGGCCACACAGGGAGGTAACGGTATCGTCACGACTCAGATCCAGATCTTCCTCATTTCAAGACCCTTGACACTGTGACTTGTGGGAAGTCCTAAGATTTTAAAAAATTCATTCTTTGGGTGAACACGTATGGACATGTTTAGAGCACGTATCGGTTGTCCTTGGGAGAAATGTTAGGGAAAGTAAGCTTGGAAAAAATGAGATTAAAAAAAAAATAGTAAATGCATTAGAGCTGGGTGTGGTGCTACACACCTATAATCCCAGGTACCTCAGAAGGTAATGATAGGAGTATTTTTGTGACTTGAGGCCAGCCTGGGGGGAGGGGGAGCGGGGGATTCAACAAGGCCCTATCTCAACCCTAAGCAAGGCATAGTGGCACAAACACCTGTAATCTAGCTACTCGGAAGGCAGAGGCAGGAGAATCACAGGAGGTGGAGGTAGGAGAATCAAAGTCTGAAGCCAGCCTGAGCAAAAGCATGCAATCATCTGAAAAAGCAACAGAAGAACTGGGAAGCGTGGCTCAAGGAGCAGAGCCCTTACCTCACACACAGGCCCTGAGATGACGCCCCCAGACCCACAAAAAAAATTAAACAAATCGACAGGCGCATTGTCCCGGCGCGGGATGCAAATGGGATCTGCTTCTGCTTTCCTGGTAAGAAAGGCGAGGCTGAGATTCGGATGAGGTGGGAAGACAAGCCAAGTCCAAGGCAGGCCCGGGCTCCCGCAAGGCCAGGAAGGAGTCAACAGGCAGCCACGTGCAGACGTGGCCAGAAAGAGCCGTGAGGGCCAGAAAGTCGTGGCCCCCCTGACTGGCAATGCAGCCAAAGGGGGGCTGCAGAGGGGCACAGGCTGGCCTGGGGAATCTCACCTCGGAGCCTCACACCGCCTGGCTCACACCGCCTGGCTCACACCGCCTGGCTCTTATCCCAAGTGCACGGGCATCCTTTGAAGCATCAAGCCAGCAATGGGGGCATCAGTGCCAGACTCAAAACCGAGGTGCCATCCTCCCAGGAGAAAGCTTAGTGTAGGGAAATGGGGGGCTCCTGTCCCCCGAGTCTCGGGCAGAGCTCAGCCCACAGCTGAATGTGGGTCCCTCTGAGCAAGCAATTATTTCCTGGAAACAAATGAGTCAGTAGAAGTGGTTCATCATCGCCCGCGGCCCACCGGGGTGCGGGCTGTGACTTATGGGTGATGGTTATTACGGTAATTACAGTTCAGCCAGCGCCGGCCATGCATCACGCCCCGCCTCTACCGCAGAATGATGGATTCAGGCCTGTCACCACAGACAGGATGGGAATCAGGGGTGGCTCCTGAGGGCACTCAGAGCCAGTGCTGGCCCAGGAAGCCCCTGATTTGGCAGCGATCGGCTCTGTGAGACCTCTTCTTTTGCAACAGCTCCGAGCGTGAGCACCGGCTTGGGGTCCCAAACCTTGCGCCCTCAGCCATTCTCTAAACCTCCATTCTTGTTTCCTTGTCTATTAAAAAAAAACGATACTGTGTAACATCGCTGCATTGGCTTTGGAGCCAACTGGACTGGGGGCAACTTCCACTCCATCAATCATTGCTGTGTGATGCTGGGTAACTTGCTTTACCTCTCTGAGCCGATCCCCCGCTTTATATAATGAAGTGTGACCCATCGGACATGGTTTTAGTGGAGACTCAGTGATACTCTCCTTGTCAAGCAGGCGTGTTGTGGAAATGGCATGTGGTGAGAGAAGGCGTTCATCCGACGTGGGAGCCTCTGTTTACCCTGGCATGGTTGTTTATGGCACCATGGGGACTTGAGCCTGGCTCTCTGGAGACCCATCTGGTGGCCTCAGCATCATATGTCATGACAAGACAACCGCGATGACAGAGCCAGGGCGACTTCCCTCTCGTTAATGGCTGGGGACGCAGACCCCTCCTGCATCTCTCAAAGGCAGCGGACATCCAGGCCTCCATGGGGCCGCAGGGGTGCAGGGGTGCAGGGGTGCAGGGGCCGCAGGGGCCGCAGGGGTGCAGGGGTGCAGGGGCCGCAGGGCCACAGGGGTGCAGGGGTGCAGGGACCGCAGGGGCCGCAGGGGTGCAGGGGCCGCAGGGGTGCAGGGGTGCAGGGGCCGTAGGGGCCGCAGGGGTGCAGGGACCGCAGGGGTGCAGGGGTGCAGGGGCCGCAGGGCCGCAGGGGTGCAGGGGTGCAGGGACCGCAGGGGCCGCAGGGGTGCAGGGGTGCAGGGGCCGCAGGGGTGCAGGGACCGCAGGGGTGCAGGGGTGCAGGGGTGCAGGGGCCGCAGGGGTGCAGGGGCCGCAGGGGTGCAGGGGCCGCAGGGGTGCAGGGGTGCAGGGGCCGCAGGGGTGCAGGGGTGCAGGGGCCGCAGGGGTGCAGGGACCGCAGGGGTGCAGGGGTGCAGGGGCCACAGGGGTGCAGGGGTGCAGGGGCCGCAGGGGTGCAGGGGTGCAGGGACCACAGGGGTGCAGGGACCGCAGGGGTGCAGGGACTGCAGGGGCCGCAGGGGTGCAGGGGCCGCAGGGGTGCAGGGCCGCAGGGGTGCAGGGGCCGCAGGGGTGCAGGGACCTCAGGGGTGCAGGGGCCGCAGGGGTGCAGGGGCCGCAGGGGTGCAGGGGCCGCAGGGGCCGCAGGGGTGGAGGGGTGCAGGGGCCGCAGGGGTGCAGGGGCCGCAGGGGTGCAGGGGCCGCAGGGGTGCAGGGGTCGCAGGGGTGCAGGGGCCGCAGGGGTGCAGGGGTGCAGGGACTGCAGGGGCCGCAGGGGTGCAGGGGCCGCAGGGGTGCAGGGGCCGCAGGGACCGCAGGGGTGCAGGGGCCGCAGGGGTGCAGGGGCCGCAGGGGTGCAGGGACTGCAGGGCTGCAGGGGCCGCAGGGGTGCAGGGGTGTAGGGACCGCAGGGGTGCAGGGACCGCAGGGGTGTAGGGGTGCAGGGACCACAGGGGTGCAGGGGTGTAGGGACCGCAGGGGTGCAGGGACCACAGGGGTGCAGGGGTGCAGGGGTCGCAGGGGTGCAGGGGTGTAGGGACCGCAGGGGTGCAGGGGTCGCAGGGGTGCAGGGGTGCAGGGGTGTAGGGACCGCAGGGGTGCAGGGACCACAGGGTTGCAGGGGTGCAGGGGCCGCAGGGGTGGAGGGACCGCAGGGGTGCAGGGGTGCAGGGACTGCAGGGCTACAGGGGTGCAGGGGCCGCAGGGGTGCAGGGGTGCAGGGGTGTAGGGACCGCAGGGGTGCAGGGACCGCAGGGGTGCAGGGGTGTAGGGGTGCAGGGACCGCAGGGGTGCAGGGGTGCAGGGGCCGCAGGGGTGCAGGGACCGCAGGGGTGCAGGGGTGTAGGGGTGCAGGGGCCGCAGGGGTGCAGGGGCCGCAGGGGTGCAGGGGTGCAGGGACTGCAAGGCTGCAGGGGCCGCAGGGGTGCAGGGGTGTAGGGACCGCAGGGGTGCAGGGACCACAGGGGTGTAGGGGTGCAGGGACCACAGGGGTGCAGGGGTGCAGGGGTCGCAGGGGTGCAGGGGTGTAGGGACCGCAGGGGTGCAGGGGTCGCAGGGGTCGCAGGGGTGCAGGGGTGTAGGGACCGCAGGGGTGCAGGGACCACAGGGGTGCAGGGGTGCAGGGGCCGCAGGGGTGGAGGGACCGCAGGGGTGCAGGGGTGCAGGGACTGCAGGGCTGCAGGGGTCGCAGGGGTGCAGGGGTGTAGGGACCGCAGGGGTGCAGGGACCGCAGGGGTGCAGGGGTGTAGGGGTGCAGGGACCGCAGGGGTGCAGGGGTGTAGGGGTGCAGGGACCGCAGGGCTGCAGGGGCTGCAGGGCTGCAGGGCCGCAGGGGTGCAGGGACCTCAGGGGTGCAGGGGCTGCAGGGGTGCAGGGCTGCAGGGGCTGCAGGGCTGCAGGGGCTGCAGGGCTGCAGGGGCTGCAGGGGTGCAGGGACCGCAGGGGTGCAGGGGCTGCAGGGGTGCAGGGGTGCAGGTTCACCCTCTGTCCTCGCAGAAGCTGCTCCAGTCCAGGCAGCCCGGAACCCTGGGGGCCGAGAACCTGGGATGCAATCAGCCCCACCAGCCCTGCTCCCCAGGCCGGGCTGGCCCTGACAAAGACGACTTCTACTCAAAACCTTCCACTGGGGTTCCCAAACTGTCCCCAAGGACCCGAGTCTGCTTCTAGTCCTTGTGAAAACTACGGCCATCTGGACCTCTCCCCAGACTGCCCGGCACCATCGCACCATCTCCCAGGGCAGCTCTGTTGGGTTTTGTTTGTTTTCATTTTTTTGTGTGGGTCCTGGCACTTGAACTCAAGGCCCTGATGCTGTCCCTGAGCTTTTTCACTCAAGGCTGGCACTCTACCACTTGCGCCACAGCTCCACTTCTGTTTTTTTGCTGGTTAGTTGGAGATAAGAGTCTCAAGGACTTTCCTATCCCGTCCGGCTTTGAACCACTGTCCTCAAATCTCAGCTCCCTGAATAGCTAGGATTACGGCCACCAGTACCTGGCTGGCTAGCTGTGATTTGGGGGTGTTTTTTGTTTTTAACACGAACTTCGAGGGGATACTGCTTCAGAGAGTGATAGTAGATCTGGTGTGTCTGTGTGTAATATAGGGGTCATGTATTTAATTCTAGGTGTATGCTTGTGTGTGAAATTCTCCATGTGTGTGTGTATTTGGAATTCTGCTGCATGGGTATAATTATGTGCAATCTGAAGGAGTTATGTTTGGCTCTAGAGCTATGCACATGTATGTGTGGTTTTAGGGGCATGTGTATGTCTGATCCCACATGTGTGTGATTCTGGGAACTGTCATGTGTGGTTCTAGGGTGGATGTGGGTACCAGTGTGATTCCAGGGGTGAGGGAGGATTCCAGCTGCATGCATGTGTGTAGCATTCTACCTGGGCATGTGTGGAATTTGGCTGTGTGAGGCATGAAGGTGTGTGTGGGGGGGTGTGGGTGTAAGATTGAGATTCTGGGGGTGCATGTGTGAGGCACAGGCTTGGGGTGCCGCTCTCGGCCCTGCGCACTCAGCACTGCCCGGGTGACAGTGTGGCAGGTGGCTCTGGGAAGTGGAGCCCTTCATCCAGGGCACTGGCTGCCGTGGGAGCATCTTTCCATCCGTGGCCCTGTGAATAAAAGACTCCCCTCGCCCTGCAGCATCCTGTCTGTGCTCAAGCAAACCAAGAGCGATTCCGCCTTGAAGGAGGGACAGACACCGGTCAAGTCAAGGTAGGAAGCCCCAAAGCCTGCGACAGGGTGGCTGGGGAGGCACCGGGCCGTGGGAAGGGGCGGGGGCGGGGGAGAACCCTCTCCTTGTGACCCCTGCAGAAAACAAGCCCCTTCCTTCCTGATCTTCTCTCCAATAAGCGCCCATCACTCCACAGAGCTGAAGTCGTCTGGTGGCCAAAAGGCCAGGGGGAGGGCGAGGCACAGGACCACCCTTCCAGGTGGTTGTTGCTTTTAATAGATTTCATTCTGCATGTCTGCAGTCTCGGCCTGATGCTGTGGACTCATGCAGATGGGCCAGGAAAGCCTGACACTTAAGTGAATCCCCACTCCCGCTCTGCTTGAGGAGGTTGTCTCTCTGTGACAGGAACAGGGCTTGGTTTTAAGGCTTCTGCAGCAAATGCATTTCTGCCTCGTGGATTCACTTCTGGACTGCTTTTGTGCCTTGGGACCTTAAACTGTCCAAGGAAGCCTCTGAATTCCTTTCCAGAGAATGTTCTAAGAGTGAACAATGAATTACAAAGGATTACCAAGATAGCTATAGTAATATAGATGACTATATTACAACCCAATTTGGAACAGAGTAATCTCGGAGCTTCTTTAAGCAATGCATTATATAATAAGACTTAACAGCAGGTCTAATAACTACTGTAATTTTAGATTAGCACTGAGTATAAACGATTCTTCAAAATACCTCCCACAATTACGATATGCACATACCTATGGTTTCCATTTCAGTTATGGGACAGTTAAGATAAAAGATGAAGCTTGTGCCTCCATCTCCATTTGCGGGCCCCTTGAATTCTGCCCGTGTTTAAGAGCTGCTAATTTAATAAAGGTGTCAAGCCTCCCTCAAATAATCCCATCGTTGGCCGTAACATTATGACCGTGGAAATCTTCTGAAGAAAAAGTAGGGAGAGCTGGGAGGACTTTTGGGATGAGGGTTCTAACCAAGACTGAATTACTTAGTATTTAAACAAAGAACTGTCTCAACTCTTTGGTGGGGGGAGGGGGCTATGATGTTCCAGCAAAGGGATAGTGTGTGCAAAGGGCCTGAGACCAGAGGACGCTTAGAGGCACTAACCAGAGAGTGGCTGAACTCAAGGAGGCACAAGGGAAGGAAAGAGGGAGGGGAAAGGGATCGTCTGTAGTTTGTTTGTTTATTAGCAGTTAACAAGACTGCTTCCTTCACCTCCCACTGCCTCGGAGCCACCACCAAAGTGCTCGGAGAGGAGAAATGGAACTACTACAAGCAGAACCTCTGAGCCAACACGGCTCCCCAAAAGATTCTTGTGCAGGCATCAGGGCAGCTGGGTGGTATCCAAAAGCAAGGCCTTCTGGATCTTATTCTAGAGCCCTGAGTCCCATCCAAGCAGGGTGACACCCACCTGTGGCCTACCGGGCATAAGACCTCTAGACCTAGTTCCATGAGTTTCGAGGAGAGGCAGCAAACGCCAGGACCCTTCCTGTGCGGGAGGGCTCCAAGAGGAGACCAGAGCTGCCCGCCGCCTAAAGAAGCCCCAAGGAAAGGGTGAGGCACACATCCGGAGACAGATTGACCTCTGGGACCACACGGCTGAAGTGCTCGAGTCATTTGCCCAAATATTTGGAAGAAACAAGGAGGGGCAGGGAGGAAGAGCAGGTGCTAGGCTGTGGTGTTTAGGACTTGGAGAACTAAAGGAGAATCTGAGAGGGAAAAATGGAGAGATGTAAGGCTGAGGGAGGGCCCTTCATCCTCTTCACCCACCATAAACCCTTCCCAGACCATCACAGGACAGGACTGCTGTGCAAGGGATTGAGTTGGTCCACGGCAGAAAGAGTCAGATGCCATGACAGGCCGAGAAGCTGGAGGGTTGCTCACCGATGGGCTGGGCCTGCTGGGTTGGGCTCTGACTCTAGCTCTGCCCACCTCCAAAGCAGAGCTAGGGTCCCATATAGAACTAACAGGTCAGGAACACCAAACGTACCACAGACAAAACCCAAAGAGGCACCTGGCCCGGTGTTGGGTACAGAGAGGGGAATGGAAAGGGCCAAACCAAAGCCATCCTCCAGATGAAACATGTAGAAAACACGGACTCGTGATGGTGAACAAAGCAGGTCCACCCTGGGCTGTAGAGTCCAGGTCTGCAGGACTCATGGCGACCATTCAAGCGCGTGGGGCCTGAGTGGGTGGGAGGAGGAGAAGGGGAGTGTCTTCCATGCAGAGGGCTCCGCAAGAGCGGCAGGAAGGAAGACAAAACATGTGGGGGCGGGCACTGGGCTGAACGGCCTTCCCTGCTCCAACGCTGGAGGTCAGCAGGCGCGGTGCTGTAGTCGTAGATGACGACAACTGAAAACCATCCCTTGGTGTTGCAGCGAGAGGTCCAGCACCACCAGCATGGACAGCCACTCCCAGATGGTCCAGAAGAAGTGGAAAGGGTAAGCCAGGAGGGCCTCTCCCCGGTGGTACGGAAAGGGCCTCCCCGGAGCCACGGGCAGCACAGAGGGACAGGCCATCGGAGAGGCTGAGCGAGAATGCAGTCGCTGGCAGGATGCCTCTCTGAAGCCAAGTGCGTCCTGGTGAGGCAGCGGCATTCGCCCGGTTCACAGAGAGGCGGAGGCTGGGCCACAGAGGCGTCTTGCCAGCAGCCACATGGTCACAAACTCAGGTGGATGCTGGAGACGAGCGTGAACCCCCAGCCCTGGCTGTCCTGCTGTCCTCCGCCTGGCTGCTGTGCTCCATGAAGAAGGGTCTGGAACCCAGACTGGGGCTGCTGGGAAGACCCATCCTCCCTAGATCCCTGGTGACACTGAGGAAGGCTCCGGGGTGAAGGTGGAGATCCCCGCAGGGCACAGGGAACACCCACGACCCCGCATGGTGACCCCAGCGAGGCCAGAGTGAGCCCCGCAAGGCTAAGGGGCATCCCCTAACCCTCCCACTCCCAAGCTCTTCTCCTCTGTGCTTACAGCCGAACAAACCGGGACTTCATCCAGTCTAAGAGCGGGGTCTGCAGCCTCATGAGGGCCAAGTTTTACAGCGTAGCCCAGGAGGCCAGCTACTGCCTGCAGGACAAGATGGAGATTTTCATGAAGTAAGGGCATACGTGCGTCCAGTTCGCTCACCCTGTGTCTGCCGTGTGGCCACTGGGCTCCAGGCACTGGGATGACAGCAGAGACAGGAAGGACTCCCCCCTTGCCCTCAGGAAGCTGAGCAGCTCCTGGGAAGATATGGGCAGAAAGAGAATACATCTATAGATACAGAAGTACCGCTGATAACCATTCCACACAGGAAGAGAACAGGTGTTTTGTCAGGGAGAGATGGAAGGAGAGAGAGAGGAGGTAGGAACAGGGAGAAGGTGGGGAGGAGATGGAAGGGAAGAGGAGAGATTTAAAAAAAAAAGAGAGAGATGGAGAGGGAGGAAGGGGGAGGAAGGGGTGTGATTCGAGTGGTAGAACATTTGCCTAGCAAGCTCAAGGCCCTGGGTGCAAGCAAACTCCAGTACTGCCAAAAGAAGGAAAAGGAAGCGGAGGGAAAGAGGAAGAAGAGGGAGAGGTAGGGAGGATAAGAGAGAGGGAGGGAGGGAGTGAGGGAGGGAGGGAGGGAGGGGGGGGAGGGAAAATAAAGTCTGGGTGATCCCGGAAGTCCACCTTCAGGAGGTGACTAGGAAGACCCAGAGGGCGAGTGGGAGGAGGGTGGCAGGCAAAGTGCACACAAAGCCCCAAGGCAAGCAGGGCCACGTGGAATTTGAGCAGGAGCGAGCGTGGCAGTGACGGCTCTATTACGCTCAGCTGCAAATGTCAAGAGTTAAACTTAATGCGAAGGTCAACAGAGGCTGCTGGGATCTTTCCTCTTCTCCTCTAGCATCCCAACCACCAGTCCACTGCTGGCTGCAGGGAGCATCTCCCCCACCCCACCCCCCAGGGGTCCTGTGCGCCCTCCTCCTCACAGGATGGCCCTCTTCCTCCAGGAGCCCCGAGTCTAGTGTGGGACAGAGATGGGGAGATGGAGAAACCATATAGGGCGGCAAAAAGAACAGAGGGAAAAACAAAAACAAAACTAGATGCAATCCCTGACCCAGAACAGCCACCGGAACAGTCTTTCTGGGAAAAACATGTTCACTTGAATGAAGACAAGGGCATGCTTCCCAGGGGCTGTATTTGTCAGTGTGTTCCAGAGATCCAAGTACCAGCCACAGAAGACAACACACCATTTACTCCTTACCACAAGCCTGCACTGCCACTAGTAGACCCACTTTATAGATGATAAAAGGGGGCTCATCAGCCCTCTCTTGCCAAAGGTGCCCTCCACAGCAACATAGTAAAGGTAAACTTAAACTCAAAGAGCCATGGTAGAGAATTAAGAGGGAAGAGAGTTCCAAGGGAAGGCAAAGCAAAGTCTCAGAGGCCTGAAAGGGCTCCAGGGAGGGCAGGGAACAGGAGGCAGGGAACTGCCACTAGCCAGGTGCAGCTGGGGCCCAGGCTGCCTACAAGACAATCAGAGAGCCAGCCAGGCAGAGGCCAGATCATAAAAGGCTTTACCTCCTGCGGTGGAGTTTCAACTTTGTCTCAGAGACACAAGCTTGAAGCATAAGAAGATTCCAGGCATGCTGATGAAGCTAGACGATGCAGTAGGGAATGAGCGTTCTGAGCGAGGGACATGTTGCTCACAGAGTAATTTATTAGTAGTAAAAGGAAAGTCACTGAGCTTCATAAACAGGGGTCTGATGTGATTCTATAAAAGCAGGTTCGTTTAAGCAAGGAACTCGTTTCAGGACCTTGGAGAGCACCATCTCACGTTGCGCCAAAAGCCAGGGCATAATTTTAAAAGTAGCTGAGAAGCCAGGCTGTGGCTCACTCCTATAATCCCAGCTACTCAGGAGGCTGAGAACTAAGAATGGTGGTTTGAAGCCAGCCTGGGCAGCAAAGTCCACGAGACTCATACCTCTAATAAAATAAAATAAAATAAACCTACCCTTCCCACCCCACCCCCCAAAAAAGTGCTGAAAGTTCAGCTGTAGCTCAAGTGGTAGAGCATTGGATTGAGCAAAAGAAGCTCAGGGACAGCACCTAGGTCATTAGTTCAAGCCCCAGGATGGTACACACGTGTGTGCGCGTGCACACACACACACACACACACACACACACACACACACAGCTGAGAGCACCAAGAAGGGCCTCAGGGAGTAAAGGTGTTAAGTCTGATCTCAAAGGACAGCCTAGACATTACAGTGGGGGGTGGGGGGGGGAGGGCTGATGCGTCTCCCTCTGTCTCACACCACCTCGCAGGCGCCAGGAAGAGAGGGGTTTCCAGAAGTTCCACTCCTTCCTCCTTGTCTCCAGTTTCCAAAAGGACATGGCAAAGATGAGACACCAGATCTCCATCGTGAAAGGGGACGCAGATGAGATGGCAGACCACTGGTAAGAGCCCCCAAAGCCAGAACCGCCGATGGTCCTGCGGGTGGGCGGGTGTGGCTACAGCCTGGCAATCCATCCCACGAGCCTAGGGATCACGGAGGGGGTGCACTCCTAAGCTCCTGTGGCCACCCGCAGAATGGCTCTCAACAAGCCAGGAGCAGAGCAGAGCCAGCCAGGGACCACAGCGGATGGCTATGAGTCACACAGCCTGCCCCGTTCCCCTTATCCACCTTCTCACTGGCACTTACAGATACGGAGAGCTCAGCCGCCAGCTCCCCAGGGCAGAGGGAGACCTGAAAGGTTCTACAAGGTGATTATTTGGGATTTCCCCCAAATAATTTAATCCCTTAAGGATGCAAAACTAGGCAGGTACATCCTAAGATCATTATGTCCCAGCCTGAAGATGATAATACTTAGCCATTAAAAAAAAAAAAAGCAACATAAGTCTCAGTGTTCTGTTGCCCAGTAGGGTGACTGGCAGGGAACAATGTTGTATTGTCTATTTCAAAATAACTAGGAGAGAAGAAGCATTTTCTCACTGCATAGAAACGGTAAGTGCTTCATGGATATGCTAAGTACCCTGGTTGGGTCGTTATGTGTGGTATATAAGTATTAAAAAGTCACAGTGTACCCCATCCATAGTATATTGGTTAAAAAGTAATATAAAACTTTCCTTTTCTGATTAGAGCTTGTTTCTTCTTGAGCAGACAGAACTCTGATTTTGCCATCTCTAGTCTGCCTTCTTGGATCCCTCTCCTATAAAACTTTTTTTTAAAATACAAATACAGGCTTACACCTGTCATTCTAGCTACTCAGGAGGTTGAGATTGGAGGATGGTGGTTTGAAGCCAGGCTAAGCAGGAAATTCTGGGAGACTTTTATCTCTAATGATGTCCTCCTTCTACTCCTCTTCCTCCTCCTCATCTTCCTCCTTCTCATTCTTTTTCTTTGAGACAAGAGGAAAACACAAAAGAAAACAAAACCACCCAAAAGTAAAACAGAAGTGGAGCTGTGGCTTGAGTAGAGTACTAACCTTGAGTCGAAAAAGCAAAAGGACAGGGCCCAGGCCTTGAATTCAAGTCCCCGGACTGGCACAAAATTTTGTTTTGAAAGCAACATGAACTGAGTGCCATGATATCCTAAGAAAGGTTAGTAAACGTAGCAAGTTGTAGCAAGTTGGATGCGAGCTTGGGCTACATAGCAAGGCCCTGTCTCAAATAAAGAAAAAGAATGAGAAGGAGGAAGATGAGAAGAGGGAGGAGGAGTAGGAGGAGAACGAGCAGGAAGAGGACATAAAAGGAGGAGGAAGCCGAGGAGGAGAAATGGCAAGAATCGCAGTGCAATAAATTACTCATTTTCATCCTCCCCCTAAATCTGGAATGCTCCATATTAACTTCCGGTTCACAAAGAAGGAAACTGAGAGGCAAAGAGATCAATGACATTGCCCAAAGTCACACTGCTAGGAAGTAGCGACCCTGGAAGGGAAATCTGCACTCGTTGCAATACAGCATAGGTGTCGGATCAACCAGTATGTCAAGAGCCCCCTCCCAGCAGGATGACTGAAAGGAGATCTAAGAGAAGATGAAGAAAAACACTCATCAGAATGAGATGGAAAACACACAGGCCACCCCCACGACCGGCATCGCTCTCCTCCTCCTCATGGTCTGGAGGGTGGGTACCTCCCACATCCTGGGGAGACAGCTGATGGAAGATGCCCAGGTCTCTCCTGGTCTAACTCTCAGAAGAGAGGCTTCAGAATCCAATGCCCCCCTTTTTCTTACATTGCTTTTTACATTGTCTGCTTGATACAACAACTACAAAGGCAGCCTTTAGAAGTATATCCTGAATTTCTTTTCTAATGAAACACACTCATGTTCTGGCTTTTGCTACCTAAAAAAAAAAAAAAAAATCAAGATTTGCTTGAGCTGTGAGTTCTTAACAATTTAGGAGGGAGGAAAGTTCCCCAGATAGAGCCTGTTGGAGATCCAATAACTCCCCCATGAGAGACAGAAAGAGAAAGTGAAGGAAGAAAACCCACACAGCTCCGGTTCATCTCCCAGCACCTTCCTAACTGGTCTTCTCCTGGCTTTGAAGGTACTTCGACCTATTGTCCAAACTCCCTGAGGATCTAAAGAGCTTCCGCCCTGCCAAAAAGATCCTGGCAAAACTGCAGAAGTTTGGTGAGAACCTAGACCTAAGGATCCGGCCCCACATCCTCCTGAAGGTGCTGCAGGACCTGAGGGTCTGGGAGCTGTGTTCCCCGGACATCGCTGTGGCTATCGAGGTAACTACCATCCCCTTCCCCCCACAATCTCAGGTGCTCTCATCCAGCCACTTCTTCAACATCCAGGCCAGTGAGCCAGAGACCCACAGACCCCGCACCTTCACGAAGCTCACGTTCTAATAGGAGAGGGATTGTCACATGACTGCCATTGTTCAACTCCAACTGCAAGGAACATGAGACTCTATGCGCGCGGTGCCCCCTAGAAACCCAAGCTTTGGGGGAAAAGTCAATAAATGGATAATCATAGTAAGGAACACTCCAAAGTGTTCTACTGAAAGTGGGGTCTACAGACCATGGAGCTCTTCTGAGTGCTTGTGAGAAATGAGAATCTCAGCCATCACTCCATCAGCCAACTCCGAATCAACATTTTAATGGGATCTCAGAGATTCTGTAGGCAAATGAAGTTAGAAGTGCTCTAGTCTAAGGTGAATTCACAGGAAATCTATAATAGCTAGGGCAACTGGGGAAGGTGACCTTTAAAGGTAGCTGAGACTTGAAGGATGAGAAGTCAGAATGGTGTTGAGAAGAGGAAAGAGCAGGTTGTGAAGATGGGACAGTGTGTGCAAAGACCACAAGGCAGGGGAAGGGTCCAGACTCCACTCCCCATGCCCTGTGAGGCTTCTCCAGGTAAGACTGTAGCAGAATAGGTTAAAACTAACTTGAGGCAACTGTTCACATCCCCTGCCCACCAGTTATGGAGGCTCATGCTAGATAGGGTAAGAGAAAAGTTCCCATGCCATACAGAACATTCCAGAACTTATGAAAACTGTACATGGGGGCCTCTAAAGCAAGAGCATATATGGAACAGTATATTTTGTTGTCTTAAGCTTTCCTAGAAAGTGATCCCGGAGGAAGGAAGGAAGGAAGGAAGGAAGGAAGGAAGGAAGGAAGGTAGGAAGGAAGGAAGGAAGGAAGGAAGGAAGGAAGGAAGGAAGGAAGGAAGGAAGGAAGGGACAAATGACTTTAGATGTTAAAGAAAGAAGTAGAAAAGAGAAGGGAAAAAAAAAAAAAAGCATCTCTCTGGGGTTTCTGCCCCTCCTAAAACTTCCTTAGTTAATAGCAACAAGAAAGGCTTGACATTAGTCTACAGAAGCAGGAAACTGTAGAGGGGCCCTTTTCCCAAAGACAAATGTTCAGTTGGTTGGAGTTATCCCAGGGCTTCAATTATCGGCCACAAGTGGTCTGGGATCTTGAGAGGTGGTTGAGGAGGGAATAGAGTCCAGCTTTCAAGCTAAATTCGGAGACTGACACTGTCTTTAACCCACAGTTTGTGCGAGAACACATCATTCATATGCCCCAAGAAGATTATATCACCTGGCTACAGAGCAGGATCAACATTCCTATCCGGACCCCGAATGCCCTGACCTAGTCTGGGGCCTGGGTCGACTAGATATCCCAGTGGAAGAGGGCAAGCAATCCAACACTTTGTTCTTCAGCTTGACCTGCTACGTTGTTTCTGCCAACTCTCACAGACGCTTGTCCTAATATGCAGTAAGACCATCCAGAGACTGACTGGGAAACATTCCAGAGAGAGCTATTTCCACATGACCCTTCCCTCAACCCATTCCCCAGCTCCAGGATCCTGTTCTGTGTATTGGTCCAGCACAACTCTCCAGAATTCTTCACCTTATTCCTTTTCCAAAACTTCTGAATAAAATTGAGCTGGATGTTCCATGACTATCTGGAAAAGTATTGGAGCAGTAGACATGGGTGTTCAGATGCTAATAATAATAATTATTGTTGTGCCACAAGCTTAGTGTTGGGTCTCCGACATCAGGTTTGTTGCTTAACCATAACTTGGTTAAGAAGGCACAAACAAGGTCACTGCTTCACACCACTGGAGGTAGAGTATATTTCTCAAGATTTCATATAGATTTATATCTACATTACATACAAATATATAATTTATATATTATGTAGTATATATTCATATACATCAATGTAGAAATAGATTATGTGTACAATATGTAACATAATTATAATCTTACATGTACATGTTTATCTTGGTCTCATGCGATCTACCTCATCAGTAAGTCACAAGAATTGTAGGCCTTTTAGTTCTCATATGCTGATGAAATGAGCTACAACAGCTTGGTATGCAGTTATGTCAAGATTTTCAGCGCATTCTTCCGTTGACCTGTCCGTCCATCCGTCCAGTCACCCATGATGGTTGGTCTCACTGTGTAGCCCAGGCTGACCTTGAACTCAGATCTTCCTGCCTCAATCCGACCGTTGGAGCTACAGGCATATACAACAAAACCTAGCCCACTTATCATATATTTAAAATCCTTTCTTCTCCCTTTATGAAATAAGCAAGCAGAGCATTGCCGATTTCTTAGTCACCCTACCAGGCAGTGGCACCTGCGAACTTACTCCTGTCTGTGACTCCATCCCCCTCCCCCTCCCCGACCTCCAGCTAACTCTGACTTCCTGACACCACTCTCGCTCTCCTCCCTGGCTCCCCAGCCCCCATTATTACAACACAAGGAGGTCACTCAAGAGTTAAGGTTTTCTGTCATCACATAGCAAGGCCAAGTCCAGAATGAGGTCTAAATCTGTCAAGGACGGAGAAAATCCTGAAATCCTGAGATTTAACTCCACCCTCCTGCCGGGAGGTTTCTGAGCCTATTTCCCAAAACGATAGCGCTATCTAGTGGTCGCTGTCAGTATTACTCTTCCACCCTACCCTTCAGTAAAATGTAACATTTCCTGCCAAAAAGGAAGGCAGCCTCAGTTAACAAGACCTGTTCCTCTTCAACAAGGAGGCTGTTACTCAAGGAGGCTGTTACTCAAACAGGGGAGAGGGGGAATCTTTTACTACCAGAATATACTGGGGACAGGGTGGAAGCTACCCATCATCTCCCAGCTCTTGGGCTGAAGTAACTACAGAGAGGAACGTTTTTGCTGTGATCAGAATTTCTAACTAAAATACCTACCATGTGCCAGGTCCCCAGAAGTCACTGCTTGCTTCAGGGCTTGAGGAAAGTTTCAGTCTCTTCTGTCACTTGCCTTCAGCCACTACTCCTGTCTCGGATCCTCATCCCAACCCACTATCCATGTTCTGATAAAAATCTCCCCCTGTTGTCCTTTGCCTGTTGGTGGTGGTGCTGTCCAACAGCCACCTCCCTGTGCTGGGAGTACTGATTTTGTTCTCAGAGTAAATCTTGATTGATCAGCATTCACATCGGTAATTGCATTCCCTGGGGCCAGTTGCTTTCTAAATGGCCCACGTGACCCAAGCTTTCCAATGAGATGGAAGCAGGGACTTGTATTTCTTCTTGAAGACAGATGTAGGTTATGCCATCTGCTCTCAAGTGTGGGCATCCCGGTGCCAGTAGGAAGCCAGTGAAGGCTGCAGATGCGGGGGGTGGGAGGGGTGCTTTTTAGACTATGAAATGATGGAGTCGCTCATTGTCCAAAGCAGTTGAGCCTAGATTTTTCTACCACTTGAAGCTGAAAGCACTCAAAGAAGCCCAAAATAATAACTCCCTCACTCTTGTCCCCTAACGAGCGTCTGCTGTTTTAGTAGCCATTTCAATGTTGATTCCTTCATCCAGAAATCTGAGAAAGCCTTTGACTCCTCTAGGCATCATGCCAAAAAGAATCTGGATTTTGTCATATTTAGGGCTCCACAAAAATGCAGCAGTATGTCTTCCAAATGGTAAAACTAACTCTGCCAAAACTCTACCAAAGATGTGAAACTCAGGTCAGCAAGGAGATGGAAATCGGGCCCAAGAGTTAAGCACAGAGATAAAAGGGAGAAACTGACCAATGAAGGAGACTTACAACACCTATGGGTAAAAGGTGTTCAGTGGAACAAGTATGTAAAGGAATAGTCCGTATTGAAGAGACACAAATCCCCAGATACCAGAAGGCTGGTATCTGGTGGATGGAAGGAGGGAAACTCATACGTGTTCACAGGGTTCCAGTCAAGATCCTCTAGCTGAACTTGGTGTTTCATTTTGTTTTGTTTCTGATTACCCGCCATATACCAGGTCATAGGAGCAATGTGAAGGCGGCCCTGTCTTCCAGGAGCCTGGAAGAAGTGAGCATTGGTTAAGAGAGAAGGTTCAGATGGCAAATTGAGAATGTGCAGGTCCTAGCTGTGATTTCTCAGGCTGCACAATCTTAGGGGGCTATCTTTGCTTCTGTATATCTCATCTTCCAAATGAGGACGCCTCTAAAGAACCCATGAGAAGACCTATGTAAAGCATCCAGCTCACAGTTACACTGCAAGACTCATTTGCTACAACCATGGTGGCAGTGACAATAGATAAGAGTGGTACCCATGGGGCACAGGGAATGCCACCCCCCAACACCCCGTGTGGCAGGTCAAGGATGGTTTGTGAGCCAATCTTTAAATATTGCTTGCTGCTTTAACCTTGAGTCTTCGCATCACTGCCTCTGAGAATGTAAGGATCTGATTGTAAATCCCAGGTCATAAGATTATATCCCAGCTGCAAGCAAGGCTGAGAAGGATCTGATCTTTCCAACCCTTACAGGAAGAGTATCAGCCCTGCGCAATGAAAGACTCATAGGAAAGGGATGGGAATTCTAGCCACAGAAACAAAAAGCATCCTCCAGAAAGGATTCCTGGAAGAAAGAATATCTCAGCTGAGTTGAGAGCAATGCACATCGTGTATTTTTCCAGTGAAGAAACAGACCCGGGAGATGGACCACAGCTTTGGAAAGAGAGAATAGGTCTGGGTTAGGAGCTATAGGGTTCAAGAGGAGACTCCCTAGGAAGTCTCTGATGGAGTGTGGGAAGAAGCTGAGAGCTTCTGCCAGAATTGGGCCTAAAAATGCTGGCCACAGAGGAGAAAGTGAACAGTGGCTAGTGGTTCTTCTCCAGATCTGGGAAGAAGTTGAGATCTAGCATATAGAGAGAATACAGTATAATGAGAATGTGATCTTTAACTCCAGTTCCTGGGAGAAGCTCCTAAACCATTGGAGTTTCCAAGTATTAGAAGTATCTTTAGCTGGGCGCCGATGGTGGCTCACCCTTGTAATCCTAACTACTCAGGAGGCTACGAGCTAAGGATTGTAGTTCGAAGCCAGCCCAGGAAGGAAAGTCCATGAGCCTCTTATCTCCAATTAACCACTAGAAAACCGGAAGTGGTGCCGTGGTTCAAGTAGCAGAGTACTAGCCTTGAGCTGAAGAGCTGAGGGACAGTGGCCAGGCCCAGAGTTCAAGCCCCCTGACCAACAACAACAACAAAAACCTACCTTTGTTATGATAGATGGCCTCTAAAACCACCCCAAGTTAATGTTAATGAGGTGGCCCACAGTGGGCTCTAGATAGGTTCTTTGGTTAGGGGATGGTCATGCCAGAAAGATCAGCCACATTATGTTCCTTTGAAGGGTGGGGATCTAGTTCACTCACATGATTCACAATTTATTCAAGCCAGCCTATATAGTGAAACCTTAATTAAAAAAAAAAAATCTCAGTACATTCAAAACATCAAGCGACCTTCTCTGTTGGGTGATCATACATCACCAGATCAGTAACACACCTTCACGACAAAGAAGCTTCCCTCCCTTTCAGACCTCCCACTGTCAAGCTCCTAATGGTCTACATGTGTATTAATAAAATGAACCCTAAGCATCACACTTTACTGAGTTGATGTAAGTTGTTCTAGTGAAGCCTGTGGCCTAAGAAGCGCGTCGGAATCCCCAAATTCTACCCAGTTGGCTGGAAGTGTGGGTCCCCTGGGGAGCTGTGAGCCTATGACTCAAGCCAGGGGCCGTCATTGTTGTGGGTGACCTACGGAGTAGGTAGGGTCACAGCTGCATTGCAGAGAAGGCTGTAATACAGACGGAAGAAAGAATGCACCCACCCAAACCTGTGGCTGAATCTCTGGCAAGCAAAGTCCTGACTGGAAGGCCGAGAGCATGTCCTCTGTGCCCATCTACTTCTTGAGCGATAGCAGCCCTCACCCCTGACTTTTGTTCGTTGTGGATTAGGCAGGGTTCGGATCCTAGTGTCAGGTGTGGCCATATGACAAGACCTGGTCAGTCCAAGCATTGCATTTCCTTGGTCATAACAAATGGTTAAGGAGTGGACACTTACAAGCCCAATCTCTGAACTTCTGTTAGAACTGGAAGACAAAATAAGAATCTCTCTTTCCCTCTCCCTCTCCTTCTTCCTCCCTTTTTCCCTTCCTCCCTTCTTCCCTTCCTCCCTCTCCTTTCCATCTCTCTCTTCTCTCCTCTTTTCTTCTCTTCTCCTCTCTCTCTCTCTCCCCCCCCCCTTCTTAGAAGGGAGCCAAGGACATCTACCAGGACTTTTTCCACCATACCAATACACAGCCAATAAAGAAAAGAAGATAAAGCTAAAAAATGAGAGAGAGAGAGAGAGAGAGAGAGAGA